TTTATTTGGAAAGTGAGAAAGTAGTTTCTTACTTTGTGCCAACTACAAAAATAATTTCAGATAGATTATAGACCTTTTAGAAGAGAATACAACCAAACATTTATATAATCTTTGAGTGGAAAAGGCTTTCTTCATATAGACTATCCAAACTCTACAAAGGAAAAATAACCTGTCAGATTTGAGGACATAAAAATTAAAGCTGTGTAACTAAAGAAATGGTACAAAGTTAAGACAAATGATATACAGGATTAATTTTCTAATATATTAAGAGTTCCTTGAAAGTAATATAAAAATGTAAAAAAAAAAAAGAAAAATAGAGGATAAAACAGACTTCACAGAAGAGATAATACAAATGGAACAATTATTATATAAAGTAGTCATGGAATGCAAATTTTAAAAACAATGAACAACTGTAGCCCTCAATTAGGCAATATTTTAAGAAAAGTGATAACATCTAGTCCAGTTCTTTCCCAAACTTGTCTGCACATGGGAATTGCCTGCAGAGTTTCAAACAATTACTGATCCCCAGAGACCATGATTTAATTGGTGTGTGGCCTGGTGTCCTAAATTTGTAAAAGTTCCCTGAGAGATTTTAATGTGCGGAATTTGGACGTGAATTATTGAGGAATAATTTCCATCCTTTGGAAACCACCGCTGTAGACTGAGGAAGGGTATGAGGAAAAGGAGGTTCTCGGGTCCACTGTGGGTGGAAGTGTCAATCATCACAGCTTTTGCGAAAAGTTACCTGGCAGAATTTCTTAAAATTTAGAATGAACATATCTTTTGATTCATTAATACCACCCTGAACAATTCATCTTAGAGAAATAAAAGCAGCACTACAAAAAGATATACATGCATCTATGGATAAGAATGTTCATTGCAGCATTGCTTAGTAGCAAACACCTGGAAGAAAACAACTGCTGAAAACATGATACTGAGATATCCAATGCAGCGAAGACGAACTGCTTATGTACAGACGCTCCCCGACTTACGATGGGGCTACTTCCTGTTACACCCATCATAAGTCCGAAATAGCATCTGTTGAAAATGCATTTAGTGCCCTGATAAACCCATTCCAAAGTAGAAAAACTGAAAGCCGAACCATCATAAATCAGAGACAGGGACCACAAATATTAGTGTCTGTGGAATACTGTTGTGAAAAGTGAAAGTTATAGAATAAGAAAAATAGATCCAATTTTTTTTTTTTTTTTTGTCCTTTTTGAGACCAGCCGCACTGCGCTCAGCCAGTGAGCGCACCGGCCATCCCTATATAGGATCCGAACCTGCAGGCGGGAGCGCTGCACTCTCCCGAGTGTGCCACGGGCTCGGCCCTAGATCTAATTTTTAAAAACATATATGTATGTTGTTTGAATAAGAAAATCAAATGGCATAGAAAGGTAACATAAAATTGGGCAGTGGTCGAGAGAGAAAGGAAACTCAATTTTTCTTTAGAAAACAAGATAATTTTTTGTAATTAATTTCATTTTGTTTTTTTAACAATTAACCTCTAAAATAGACATATACAGAGAGAAAGAAATGGGGCTTGTCCTAAGATGTATTAAAATTTATACTAAAGTAACAAATATACTATAGTAGTATATTAATAGTTATAATACATATTTATATTATATATTTGTATTATTTATTATATATTTTATAAATTATAAAAAGGTATTTCTATATTATATAAATATATGAATTATCATTATAATCTGTTATACTATATACCACTATAATTAAAACAGCAACAGCCAGATAGATCAACAGCACAGGATAGAGTCCAGAATAAAAATCCAGATTTACTAGGGCATTTCAAACAGTTCATGGAAAGATTCATATTATCCTTTAATTCTATTTTTCCATGAACTCTTTGAAGAACCCTCGTGCATGGAAGCATATCATTTGATGAAGCTGACATTATGAGTTGGTGGGGGAGGAAGGGAGACCTGCTTCCATCGCCTGTCACTGTGGCCCGACCATGGGGAAATCCGGGGCAGGTGGTGGCCAGGAAGACCAGCTCCAAAGCTGAATGTGGCACATTCCAAACAAGTTTCCAGGGGCTACTCATGCTGCTGATCCAGAGCCACACTTTGAAAAAGAACTTGACCACTTGCATCCCTACAGTTTTGGGTCAACCTGTACACCCCACGAGGAGGCATGGTGCGGGGAATGGGAGGTGGGCTGTACTGGGTTCCTGCCAAAAAATGTGGATTGGGGGCCGGCCCGGTGGCGCACTCGGTAGAGTGCGGTGCTTGGGAGCGTGGTGGCGCTCCCGCCGAGGGTTCGGATCCCATATAGAGACCGGTCCGCTCACTGGTTGAGCGCGGTGCGGGTGTGACACCGAGGGTTGCAATCCCGTTACCGGTCACGAAAAAAGACAAAAAGGGAAAAAAAAAAATGTGGGTTGGGGTTGGCTGCCTGGCATGGCTGTCAATGTCAGCAGCTGCTTGATATCATAATTTTTGGAGCCCAAAGACTGCCTCAAGAATTTGTCTGGAAGGATTTAGGCCTGTGCCCAGAATGCACATCTGCAAGGCCCTGATCTCACTGTTCGGCAGGAAATCTGGATTTCTTCTTGACCACCAATGGCATCAAATTCATTCATCTGTGGCACAGCTTACAAGGGACTTTCTTCTCCTGATATAATTGTGGTTTTCAAATTCAGTTATGTTCCCACACCTGTGTTAGGTAACAGGTTAATAAATTCACAAGGCTGATTCATTTGTGAATCAGGTTGTGACCTTCGTATTTGAGAAAGATTACAAGTGGCTTCCTCTGCTCCCCAGATTAAATTGTCCTCATGCTCAGCTTGTGTTACCGCATATTGCCCTGATTTTCCTTAGCCATTCTCAACTTTCCAACCTCCTTGGGATGCAGGAGATGCCCCCAATTCACCCTGTCCTTTTACTTATTCTTTTTGCTTATTCTTGTCCCTTACTTTTTTTTTTTTTTTAACCTTTTTTTGTCCTCATCTGAATGAGGTGACCTCTTTGTGGTAGTTCCCAATGGATTCCTGGTGGATATTTTAAAACTCCGAGGGAGAGAAGCCAGGAACTGCAGAATAAAAATCATTTCTTTTCAGTTTTGTTACCTCTGGGTTACTTTAGGTATAACAATCAGCCTTAGTTATTACAATGTATTAGTAAATCCAAAATTGAAATGACCACTGTCAGCGCAACACCCCCTCTCAACACCCAAATTAACTTCATAGTGCTGCACATGACTGAGCAGGAAACTGTCCCCATGCTTGTAAAGCCACTCTGCCTGCCTCCAAGTCCACAGTGAATACTCATTCCCTTCGAAAAGGCATCCCACTACCACATAAACCCAGTGACCAAGAAATTAAAGGAGAGAAAATTTGCTCACAGAAAACAAAGACAGATCTAATGGACTTAACCTCCTTTTTTCTCTCCTAAATTAGATATTGTTTCCATTGAGTTCCCTTCTCATTTCTTCACTTACCTTCATCTGTGTCAGGACACAACAGGTACAGGGAAATACGATTCTTCTGTGTGTCAAAGGCCCCATGATGACTGCTTTTAATGAGTAATTAAACAAGAAGTTGTGAAGTCCTAGCTGAGACTTGACTCTCCCTGCAGGAGCCTGCAGCAGTGCCTGGCCCAGCGTGGACCTATTTGGCTTACACGGAGAATATTTTAATTCCCATACAGTTCCCTATGGACATTTGGCGATGGTCATGGTGAACTTAAAAGCACAGAGCAAGGAACCCACCCACTGAGCTGCTCTCAGGACCACCCAGCCCAGCTCCTTGGAGGCCCTGCTTTTCTGTCTCATAAATTATCTTGCTTCACAGTCCTTTGCTTTACGATCTCTTACATGGTTTGCCATTAAGGTTTTGTAGCTTTAATTTCTTAGTATCTGGCCCCAGGGGGTAGGCTATAAATCAGTTTAGCCTGGAGTCCCACTCCGCCCTGTAGCTCTCAGCCCTCAGCTTGCTGAATCTCCCACATGAGCCTCTTGCAGGTGCAGCTTCACACTCTTTACCAAAACAAGGGAAGCTACTGCCACCACGTTTTCCAGGAGGCACATTCCTGCTCCTCAGGTATAGTTTCCCTAAAAGCCTTTCAATCTTCCGTGGATTGTTTATTAAGTCACTACTTTTAGTTTCAAACTCTCTATTTCTCCATCTTAGCTTTATGGATTCTCTTTTTGTTCACCACTTTTATTTCCTGTTTGCTTGTGCAAATCTCATCACCAGCATGCTGTAAACCTGACCCTTCCCACCCTTCTTGGTCAGTCGATGGCTTCTTTGCCCATGACTTTCCCACCCCCTGACTCCCCCCCACCCAATTTGGGACATCATTCTTTCTCTCTAGACCACAGCAGGGCTCCTGACAGTCCTTCCTACAAAGATGGGAGCCTCTTTAACAGCCATCAGTGACTTTAATCCTCTTAATATTTAAAAACCCCGTGCCTTCCATGAAGCCTCTGATGAAGCATCTTGTCTCTCTTTGCCGGGGTAGCTCCTGGATGCCAGTGAGGATGCTCCTGACATGACCCCATGCCCCTCCCTCAGAAGGCACCTGTGACTGTGAAGGCCCTGGGCAGAGGCCCTGGTCTCATCTGTGGCTGGCATGGCCCTTGTTACTAGACTGATCGAAATATCACCCAGGGAAAGCCATGTGGCTGTTGTCTACCCTTGGGATGAAATGGAGAAAGGGCCTCAGACACGGGATCCTAAGAGGCTCTTCCAATTGTGCAAAAGGAGAAAAGGGTATGAAAGATGTCAGGAAGTAGGAATTCATGAGATCTGATCATGGAAGAGACAGGTAAAAAGGAATCACCCAGGGGCATCTATGTATAAATACACACTACCACTAATCCTCCTTTTCCTTTAATATGTAACTCGCAGTTATGTTCCAGCTTCATTCATTCTGCAAAAAAGGTAATGTAGGTTGCATTCTCACCAGTGCCTGCTTAGTAATGAAATTTAGAGTCATTTCTTTAGGGGTTAAAAAAAACCAAAACACACAGACAAAATATTTTACAGTATCTATAATAAATGCAAAGAAATCAATACAAACAAAACTTGGCTTTAGCAAACTGTACATACATAAATATCTTTTTTACTATAACATTCAACTCTTCTTTTTTCACATAAAGCCTTCCATGATCTTATTTATTACATCTAGCTTTTCTTTATACCTTTAAAAAAAGTGCCTTTAGATTTACAGCTTATGCTTCTAAAGCAAAGGTTAGAATATCATGCCCCAAAGGAAAACAAGGTTAAAAAGGGAGCTGCCATATAAGCTCTTAAAAATTGTATGTTACAGGTTCTAAAGTCTCTCCAGTACTGGTTGGTTGGTAGATTGTACGATACTGACATGGGGCTTGGGAGGGTCATTCATTGGTTGGATGAAGCAGCACCACGGGAAAGCTGCCCAAACAGTCTGCTGAAATCTTTGCCTATGCACAGAATGGGCCAAAAGTCCAGAATTCACCAGTCCAGGGAACTTTGGAGGTTCTCACTTGATCTTTTTAGTGCGAAGGCTCAGAGTCTCAAACATGATTTCTTCTAAACCTTCTGTCATCTGTTCGCTCTCCTGCCATCGTTTATCTTCCACCTCCAAAGCCACGATAAGGAGGAAAGATAAAGCTGCCACTCCGAGGTCTTTTGCTGAGACTAAGGTCCTCTTTTTGATCGTTTGGGATTGCTTTTGGCCTGATCCTCCTTATGCTACCAGCTCTTCTGCAGGTGGCATCTGCTTGGTTCAGAGTGGAGGAGGGCCATTTGTGTATCTGAGCATGGGGTGGAATGACCGGGCAAAATTGTTGGACAGGGCACAACTGTAGTCTTCCTCTGACCGTGGGACCAGGCAGGCGAGCCCGATGAGGAGCAGCAGGAGAAGCTGAAGGGGAAGAGCCGCTCGGAGGACTCGGGACAGGAAGGCTCGGCCGGACGGAGCTGGCCGAGGCTCAGAAGGGGAGGAATCGGAGCCACCTTTTGTGGACCTGAGAGAAGAATCAACATAAAGAACTCAGATAACTCAACTATTGGATGGATGCTGCTTTGTGCTTCCACACCTTCCTAGCAGCTAAAGGGCCATGCCAGACACAACCCAACTTGGCAATTAGCTGCCAGTTTTCTGCAGCATGCCCAGGCCATTTCCCCACCACCAAATGCAGAGTTGCTGGAAACGGCACTGACGAAAAATAAACATGTAGTCAGTCACCTAAAGGTAACTAATTGGGTTCAAATTCCACTCCTTTTATCCCTTAATTTAGTAAAACATTTTTCATCAACAAAGGTAATTGCTCTACACACGTTCTACTACCATAAATTAAGTAGATCCAGGATAATTAAAATCTGGATGTTTGATGAAGTATATTTTTGGTTTAAGAATATCAGCCACATTGTCAGGCAAAATTAGTTGCTGTCAGAATCATACAAAGTTTCCCATCTAGTCATCCTGATATGCCGAAATCCATGCGGCAAAATAAAAACAGTCCCAGTCATTTTGCACAGAGCCACAAAAGCTCAGTTAATCTTAGAGGATGCCTGGTTTCATCTTGCACTGAATCAGCACCTGGCCCTGGCCCTGACATTAGTGGATTCCCCAGCTGCAGGGGCAAGGAACAGCCGTGCACCCGGCTACACAATACCAGTGTTGAATGACGTAGGGTCCAGGCTGATCTTATCCCCCGTTCTGTGACTTTGTGAAACTGACACCATTTTTCTGAAGAGGACAGATTGTCATTTTGAAGGTCCCTTCTAGACTCAATGTTTTGAGTTTTCCCATTTCACTTTTATCTTCCTTTTAAACAGTGCACTAGAGTTTAAGCACAAATTTCAGAATATGTAAGAAATACTGCCAGTGAAATATCGAATATGGAAGTAGGTTCTGAGTTGGGTGCTCCTGTTTTTGACTTTTTTTTTTTTTTTTTTTTTTGAGCAACCATTAATGTTTTGTTTGGTTACTAGTGAAAAGATGAAGAAAGAGATGTTATTGACAAGAGGCATTTTGGGTACACACACACCCACACTCACACGACACTGCCTGAGCAAGAATAGATATATCAAAGAGACACATTTGCGCACACCTAGTGTGACTTCTCTGATGGTCTTAATATCACTCGGGGTAAGGACATAGAATGTGAGGTTCTTGCAGAAATCTGAAGGTGTAAAACTGTATTGGGAACTCTGTAGGTCTGGCTGATAAACACTATGATTGTAGTTCCCCTATTGGCTGTTCATTTTTGAAGACAGATTACCCTAATATCATTGGGGGATCAGCGGAGGCTCCAAAGAAAATAAATGTTAAAATAAAAAAACAGATATAATTCCCTTAAGAGGGAACAGAGGGACTACTCAAAATTCTTTCATTAAACCATCAAAGAAAGATAACAGAGAAACAAACCGCTTCTGTGGAAGCCCCAACGAGCCGAGCACCACACTGTGTTTCTGGATGGTTCTTGCAGTGTAATGAGAAAACAAATGACGGGCCTAAACGGAAATCTTGTTCTTTTCTGAAGTCTACAACAAGCTGCAGTGTAACCCTCAACAGCTTCCTACACCTCCACATGCCAACTTCTTCATCAGCTTCTTCAAAATAGAATAGATGGCCTTCCAACTTTTAAGTTCCAAGTTTTAGTCTTACATGCTTTATGTCTTCTACTGATTTGTCAGTGTAGAGTCTCCCAGCTGGGAGGCCACAAGAGTTCAATCACCACCTAGTGGTCAAACTGATTAACTGCCCTGATGCTAAGACCACAGAGTTATTCTTAATGAGCTGCATAGAAAAAAAAAAAATGTGTATTTTGTGAAAATATAGTAGAGCATAAAAGAAATATGTCATATACCTTATGAATGGCAGGGGAAAATGGGAACTTCTCTAGTGATCTAAGTATAAAATATTCGTGTTGAGATAGGGCCTTAGAGAGTATCCACACCATCTCCTAATTCTTCAGATAAGTAGCTAAGGATAGTTAATGTTTCTTCTAATCGCTAGGCAACACTCTAAGCTTCGATCTTGGGTTCTCTCATTTAATCCCCCAAAAGTCCTCTGTTTATAAATGATAAAAAGGTGGCTCAAACAAGTAAATGACTGGCTCTAGTTTACACAGCCAACAAGTGGCAGAAGTAAGATTTTAACCCTGGGATTCTAACTACCAGAACTCTACATATAGGACTCTACATATAGGGGAAATGACTTGCCCCAAATCCCACAACTAAAGGGAGAGATCTACAGGAGCTCAGGGTTCCAAAATCCCTGCTCGCCACACTCCGTACCACTCAATGTTTGTTGGCTGGTGGTATGAATGATGGTCACGCAGGTCATATTTATGTCACAGGTATCTCACACGTAGAAGTCATGAAGAGAATACTTGAATCCTAAAATATTTGGGAGCAAGTGGCTTCCTCCTGTCTAAAATAATGCTTCCAGTATAAAGCCTCACAGTATCACACTGATCATCAAATCAGTGTATGGACACGAGGACATTTTGTTTTGAGGCAGTTATATAATCACGTGCAAGTGAATTAATCTCTCTGGTCTTTGTTTTTCTCCTTTGCAAATATGAGTGGTGCATTAATATCTTAAAATTGTTTTGGCTCTGACAGTTTATGATTCAATGGTTTGCCTTAAAGGGCCTTGAGAAGGATGGGATAGCTATCCACAAACTCTGGATTGAACTTTTCTTCAATATATCCTTCCCTTGACTTGAAAATATGCCCTGTTGAAAACTCTCGCTACCTGTAGCTGGATGAGTTATAACAGGAGAACAGAAGAGAGCTCCACATTTCCTCATTATTAAATAGATATTTATATATATATTTTACATATTTATATATATATCATATATATATATATTTATATACTGAACCATTTTCATTAAGAGACATTTAAAGACTTTAGTGATAGGCAGATTTATGCATATAACTGATAATATAATCTCACAGAGCCCAATAGCCCCTTTGTCAATTATTAGCTTCTTTCAGCAATTCCACCAAAGATCAAGATCAAAACAAGGGCTGAACATTGACTAGATCATTCCTGAGAAAGACTGGAAAGGTCACCATTTTGGGAATATGGGCACATATGTTACAGAGTCTGTTGAAGGACATGGCACATTAAACAGCATCAGAGCATTCTTTCTTAAAATTTAATTGGTGCATGACTTCTCATGTTGAAGAATGCCAACCTAGGGGGATGTAATGGGCTGAGATGAGGACAAAGAGAACACAGAGTACCTTAGTGACCATCTGTGCAGTTGACTGCCCCTGAAGATGCCCAATCTATCTACTGAGAAAGATGCCCACCCCCTTGGGGTAATTACCAGAGTTTCAACATGCCCAAAGTTGCCTCTTCTGCAGGGTGAAACTGTTCTGAGATTTTAGTACCAATAGATTAATTATACTAGGGTGAAAGGGCACTTTTAATATTTATCTACAGCCCTAAAATCATCTAAGTTTCAAAGGTCTTGGGAAATTTGATAAAGGAAAGAACAAAGGCAGCTTGATCAGTAGCCACTGGTGGTTCTCTACTGGCCTTTTTACGTACAGGTACGCCAGTTTAGATTGTTTGTACAGGAAAAATTGAATGTGTGAATTTACTCAAGGAACTTAATCAATGGAGATAGTTCAGGTAATTGTGTGCAGAAAAAAACGTGTTTGTTATCTACAAGTAAATATTTATTTTTCTTACTCCTCTCACTCCTTCAAATTTCTGGGTAAATAAATGCCCAGGAGTTCTTTCATCTCTGTCCTAAAACCCATACACAGTGGTGAGGGAAGGAAAATGGGGGGGGGGGGGGGAAAAAAAA